ACTTGGGGGCTGGACAAACAAGCTCAGAGCCAAGTGGTTGGCCTAGTTGGGGGACTAAGTTTAAAACCCAATTGGTTTTACTTGATTTGCTTGTGAAAATCACTATTTACAATTAATTATACCCAAACAGATTGTTTTCTGCACCTTTTTAAAGAAATTGACGATTCTCTTAGTATAGAATAGCAATCAACGCAAGGCCAAAAATGTAAGAAACTAGACTTGTAACCAGTTCTAATGACGCTGAAATTTGATAATTTTTGGATTTATACCCAAAGAGAACAACACTCCCGAATTTACTATTTCGGACTGGTTTCCCGGACAGATTTGAATACCTTAATTTATATGGATTTTGACTCCCAAAAATTATAAACAAATTCAGATATACAATTCAATATGTAGTTGATCTACTGTAAAAGTTTCAGTTCAAAATTCATCCGTTTGATATGGTTTCTTGATTTTTAAAGTTTGTGATTCTGTGCAGAATTTTTGGACTAAGAATTACACCATTCTTTATACATGAATTTAACTCCTCAAATTTCTTAACAGTATATATATATATACAAAATACATAAACCTACAACTTCTCCATCAATGATCTAAATAATAATAGAGTAAGAATAAAGAACAAAAACAAAGAAAAAAAAAAAGAAAGATACCCACCACACCCAAAAATTACTCCTTGTTTGCAATCCCTTTTTTTCTTCTTCTTTTCTCTCAAACTTCTTCCCCCTCTCTTTCCTTCATAAACCCACGGCTGCTAGGGCTGCTAGTGTTGTGGAAAACAATTATAACAAGAGTTAGGGTTTGTGTTTATTTTATTTTCTACTAGTGGTGGGCACACTTAGGTCAAATAGATAGATAAATATACAAAATACATATATAAGTTACATGCAACTCAAATGGTAAGAGCCTAACTTATTAATTTTATGGTCTAGAGTTCAAGTCACACCCTCTTCTCTAATTTTTTTTATTTTTAATAATAAATCTTGCTTCTAAATCAATGACTTTCACCATAAATTTATTTTAGGTTTAAAAATTAATTAAAGGATCCTCCAATAATATTTAATTTGTACCTTAGAATTCACCACCAAAATATTTGTGATTGTAATATTATTATTTAATTATTTACTTAATTTTTATATTCGGGTTCTCACATATAATGCTTTGATAAAGTCTTGTTTTTCTTGTTTTGGAAAGTATTTGTAAGCATGAATGGTTATTCCTAATTGGAAATATATATATATCTTGTTTTGATGACATTCTTGGAAGTCCGTACGTGCTAAGGGACTATAAGCACTTGTAGCACAAAGTTTGGAAGTCCGTACGTGCTAAGGGACTATAAGCATTAGTAGCACAAGTCCTTAGTGTCCGGGGACTATAATGCAACGACACCATTGAATTGAGATATCTCCCTTGTCTTGCCTTGTCTTGTCTTGTTTGCCACTGACGGTTTACCGTGTGGGTTTTGTTTGCCGAGATGTCATCATTTGTATTATAATGATGTTAGTAAGCATCCTTTGAAACTTGACAGATTTGCTAGATGGACTTGATTCATCCTTTGACTTGCACTAATTATGTTTTGTATTGTTTAACAAAGATCTTGAATACCAGTCATGCAAACCCCCTTTATTTCTTATTCCATTCACTGAGTATCCAAGCTCACCCTCTCTATATATATATGTAGGTGATGAGCAGGAAGGCGGTGACGCCTAGGTGTGACTCGCAAGCTTGTTTTGGGTTTTTGTTTATGTCGGCTTAACTTGTTTACATGTCGGCAGTCTTGAAAACTATGCTTCTCGGCTTATAATGTTTGTAATTTACACATGTCGGCTGGAGAAGCCTTTTGATCAAGATGTAGAATGTATTTTGTACTTATTGTATTTGAATCCAAGTTGTAATATTATGTAAAGTTGTATGCCATTCCATGTAACTTACGCACTGCTCTTATGGACCACTTGTATCTTAAGATTATTGCTTCCGTACTTGTGAGCCCCATATATAATTATACTCTGTTTGTGTGTGAATCTTGAATGATGGCCTTCGGTAATCTCGGATTACTGGCCATCACGACACTAAACTACTAGGGGCGGTTTGGGGTCGTGACAGGGTTCATGTTCGGAGAGCTGTCCACGAGGAGGACAATGATGCTCCTTTTCATGAAAAAGACAATAAAAAGGATTTATCTAATGGTCATGGCATTCCTACTGTACGAAAAAGCAAGCTGGTGATTGTGGATCTTGCTGGATCTGAGAGATTAGACAAATCTGGTTTGTTGTCATACCACATATCTGAAATACTCCTTGAATTTCAAACTACCATTTCTGCCACTGTTGTTCTTCTCTCTCTATCTCTTGCTTGTTTTTTCCCCTCCCATTTGTTTACTTCGAAGTGCTCAAATTTATCTTCATGTGGGTTAATATTATAAGATTCTAATCCTTATTTTTACCCACTGAAATGATAAAATAGCAACGTGCTCTATTGAGCATTGAGTTGAGTCTTTGTATGGTAGAATGGTGATTTGCTTTTATCTAATATATTATTTTTCAGTACTTAATGCTTATTTTTATTTGTGCAGGCAGTGAAGGCCGCTTGCTTGAAGAGGCTAAGTTTATTAATCTTTCTCTTACTTCCCTGGGGAAATGCATAAATGCATTGGCAGAAAACAGTCCTCACATTCCTATTAGAGATTCTAAACTAATGAGGCTGCTTCGTGATTCATTTGGAGGTCATTCTGACAACTCTCACTTTCATACGCCTTTCTAAGCACGATAGACTTAAGTAATCATGATTTAACAATATATAGGTTTTTGAATGATATAAACTTAATTCACTTAAACTCCTTGATTAAGCTAATCTTCCCATATTAGGGTTTCTACACACCAAAGAATGGTGTATAAATAGCATGTACTTAATCATCTTCCAACAACGTCATAGAGCATTTTCACATATGAAATATAACATGCCCTAACATGCAATGGAAATACTAATATCTAGGATATCACAAAAGGCGAGTACATAGACTGACCTTGAAACACTAAAAATTAATCATTATTGCTATAAAAAAGCTCATTGTATCTTCACTACATTTATGAAGGTTTGTACAGATGGAACATGGATGCAAGGAAATTAACAAAACTCTATCCATATGCCCTTTGGATTTTGCTGAAGCATTCAGACTAGTGATCACCACCATGAAGGTCAAAATGAAAACAATGATAACATTAGTAGAAAAAACAAAAATGACTGCACTGAAAGCATTGGCTTATCAAGGGCTGGAGAGGCTGACTAGAATTTATTTTTCAACTCCAAACAATAGTGTTACGCTAATAATCATTCGCACATTTTATGTTTTTGTGATTCTACAACCAGGTTTCAATTCTCATTGTGAGACTTGGTTAAAAAAAAAAAAAAAAAAAAAAACTCATTTAATTGATAGGGAATTTTATTGAAGCAGAGTATATCTCAGTTGTTTGCATTCTATTTATGTTGGTTTCTATGAAGATTTATCTTTATTTAATGAAACAGGCTCTGCGAAGACATCACTTATTGTAACAATTGGGCCGTCTTCTCGACATCATGCTGAAACCTCAAGCACCATAATGTTTGGACAACGGGTGAGTTAGATAAAGCACTTCATCATTCAAATATAACCTTTACACATCATTTCATGTCTTTGTTCACTCACTCTCTTTGCATCTTGTTGACATTCTCTTGATTTTGAGCTATCAAATAGTGTGATACTTACAACTTAATGTTTGCTATTATTTGTTTTTAACATAAAACTTTACATCCTCCAGGTTTCTTGCTGTTTCCATCTGTTTGACATTCACATGTTTTCTTTTTATTTGACCTCTCAATCCAGTGCTACATGTGTATGTTGCCACTGACTGTCTGGTGTTGCTAATTTTGAGAGTGGACAGAGGACGATGTCATCTGTTGTGTCATTATTAGTCTAATTCTCTTTGGAGAGGAAAGTGTGTTTGGAAGGGAAATATGCATTGCATTGCCAAGGTTGTTAATCGTGTTTTGCAGTCAAGAAACATCATTTGAGTTGCTATTTGGGAAATAGATTAGAGAACCAGGCAACTTAAGATACTTAACAAGGTACTTAAACAAGGGGAAACCTTTCTAGAGTGGGAAGTGTTTTGGAAAACTCGAAGAGAAATGGAAGCAAAAAAATTTGGTAACAAATCATGGGAAATAGGAAGCTAACTGAAATTTGATACTAAATGGCATAGAAAAACTTCCAGAGAAAAGTCTGACAAAATTGACATGAAACACTGTAAATAATGTAAATTGTGAACCGTAAGGAATAACTAATTTACTATTGAGAAAAGGTGTTGGAAGCATAAAAACTAGAAATATAAGGAAATGCGTTCCTCATAAGTGTCTTCTTTGTTTCCAAATAGCTTCTGAAAGTTTCCTACAAGATTTTCAAAATTCCCAAAACTTCCTTAGTCATTCTGATAAAAGTTAATTTTTAAAACAAGATAGGAGGAAACAAGTTTTTTCCCTTGAAACCAAGGCTTCTCTACAACTTTGATTGAAGCTTTCTCATTGTGGAGGCCAGAATAAATTCAATTTTGGAGGCCAGAGTTCATTCTACGGCAATAGAGCCTATTTATCAGCTGTAGACAAGCCTAAAAACTCATGGAACATTTTCAAATCAATCCTACCTAACATTGATGTTGATACCTAATAAGATTCAAACCCTATCACTAAAGCTATTAAAATGTCCTTAAAGAAATAAGAAAACAACAACATTAATTGAAAGAATCCTAACAAGACTAACTACTTTAGTCATCAATGTATCATCTTTTCATGGGTTCCATATCAATTGAGATGCATCAAGCAGCCTCTTTTCTTTTTTCTCCACCTCTATGTTTTATGGCTAAAAGGGTCCATTGGTTGGTGATGCAATGGTAAATAGTCTTTCAAATGTGTGACATCTACAATCAAATCATAAAGAACTTAGAATGTAGTTTTAAATGTTTGTTATGGATATTTTTCTTTTGAACAACTTTGTAGAATAGTTGTCTTAATCACGGTAGCTTAATGTTTATTGCTTTTGCAGGCCATGAAAGTTGTAAACGTGTTAAAGCTTAAGGAAGAATTTGATTATTACAGTTTTTGTTGGAAGCTTGAGAATTAGGTGGAGCATCTAACTGTGGCGATTGATAGACAACAAAAGTTGAGGGACAATGACAGAGTTGAAATGGAAAAAAACCTCAGAGTGTCAAAAATCATTTGCTGAAGCTGAAAAGAGTTTAGTTACAAGGTCTGACGTAGTTGTCGCTCCTGCTGGTATATGTTTTAGAGTTTGGATTTGATGATATTATGGCTGTGTTTCAGTTCACACTTTCCAACTCCCAGCTTATTCATTTTATTTGGAGCTATTGGTGCTCTAGTTTTGTCCTTTTTAGGTGTGTGTGCGCGCGCGTGCGTGTATGCATGCGTGTGCGTATGGCAATATGTTCTGTTCACCAGCATTCTTTGTTTATTTTTCAAATTACTTTCTCTAAATATGTTGCACTTGTTTGTAGTTTCTAGCAAAAGAGAATGGTCACCTGGAAATAAAGATGAAGGGTATATTAGATGAACTGAAGCGTCTAAAAGATCATAATGATTTTATGCATGATGAAATTGAACGCTTAGAAATGAGTCTAAAACACAGCAAGGTATATGAAACACACAGTTTCTTGTTTTTCTTATCTTCTTTTTTTCCTCCCCATTTTATCCTCTGTACATTCTAGTTTTCTGGTAAACTATGAACTAGCCCCACACTCCTAATTTGAGTACACTTCGGTGGTTACGTGTTTCTCTCTTACTGCCCAGTAAAATTACTAGAAGAAAAGTAAACTTCTGATCAATTTCATTTATATGGTAGTCAAGACCTTTGCTATGTGCTGGTCTTCTTATTGTTTCCTAGTTTTAAATTGTATTTGTTTCTTGGATCCAAAGTTTTGGCTTTACAGTTTAAAAAACAATTTATTTTTGGTTACTATTATTTGGGTTGACATGTGCACAAACACTAACTGTGCTGGTTTGTCTGCTAGTAGCAATCCCAGCTTGACAGTTCTACGTATTAGAAAGTACTCGTAGATACCACCCAGATGTATGAGAAGAAGATAGCAGAGTTGATGAAGCAATTAGAGGAGCAGCAGGCTCACTCTGAAAGTGACAATTGCCTCTATTAACCACGTTAGAATCTCTACCATTGGGTTGAACAAAATACTTGCTCTTAACAACTAAACACCATAGTGAATCACTTTCAATAGGAAATCTCCACAATCACTTGCCTAAGAGAGCAATGTTCCTAGCAATGATATTTCCTATAGCCAGACTCCATGTATCCCTAGGGAGAATGAACCCTTTTACCCTCTTCACACTCAATGAACTCTTTAACAATCAATAGGAGTGATCTTTAAATATTGATAGTTACTTTCTGGTGGAAGTTGGCAGTTCCACCTCTTTTAGTTTTTCTATTTTGGAAGATATATTCATCCTTTAGGTGCCATAAGAACAACCAAAACTATTCCTTTTTTTAAAATTTTCCAACATACAATCAGTTCAAATAAAACTACACCTTTTGATTTGAAATATTTAAAATGCTACTTAGAAAGGGGGTAGTTGTAAAACAGAGACTCACTCCATTTAATTTGTACACAGCTGCTTAGAATTGTGTCTTATTCTATCTGACATGGAAAATAATGCCCATAGTCCGGAAGTAAAATTGGGTAATAAGACAAAAGTTTAGAGAGGCCTTTAAATTCATATACTTTCCCTGGTTATAGGTTTCTAAGTTAATTATGTTGCGACTGTTTGAATAAAAAGGTGTCCCATACTTATTTATATATGCAAATTTATTTTAGATTTTGTTTGTTTATATCTTTTGAGTTTCAAAGATAGTGCTCGTATGTTGCTCTTGTTCTACCCATGTCATGTTCTGATCTATATACATGTTTGTGTTCATTATAAATATGTTTGTGGTCTTCTGCAGGATCACCACTATCACCAAGTACTAGAAGGTTGTTATGCTTGTGCAATATCAACAAATGCAATGTCCATCGAAAAATGGATCAAGAGTTTGATTGGGATCTTCGTTGTTACCTCATCACAGAGCCTGTTTAAGTTGGAGTTACTTGTGTAGATGGAATGCATGTCCTTAACATACCTGTTGCCCATGATTGCTAGAGATTTCTTGATGTCTCCAATCATCTCATCAGCTATAGGGAAGCCGCAGTCTTTCATAGACCTCACCATTGCGATAGAATCTTCCAGATCTTTTGTGTGCAAAGTCAACCCCCAAGACTTCTCCATGACATTGTTCTTGAGGTTAATAAGGTTTGGCACTGCATTTTGGGTATGTTGTTGGACGTAGAAAAGTCCCACCGAGGGCTCATTGGCCACGTATTTTATCATCTCTGCCAAGCTTTCAGTTACCTCCACAAAACCATCAACTGTGGATAATTCATGCATCTTGTTGAAGGCGAATGGCAGTTCATCACGGGTTTCACTAAAGTTATTAAGGGAACCCGATTTCAATGGAAAATGGTAGATAAAGTAAAATAAGAGAAAAAGAAGAAAATGTTTCAATGCATTAGGAAGTTCTATATAATTTTATTGTTGATGCCCAAAAAAATCTTACATCAGTCCAAATTATGTAATATATAATCACATGAGCACATATGAAAATATAGGAGGCAACAGTAATCACACTTCAAAACTGTGGTAACAGAATCTGTGATTTCACTTAATTACTCTCATTTGAGATTTCAGATTGTAGAAAGGTTTTTAACCAAATAATTTTTTTTTTTCAAGTGGCCAGTTAAACAACTATATATATAAAAATAATTTCATTATTTCTCCTCCAACTAAACAATGCCTTCCCCTTCCTCCCATTTTTTTTTTTAGCATCAACAAAAAATTTATTAAAAAAGAAAAATGAAAGAGAACAAGAAGTCGTTATAGCGATCTCGGTTGTCCCTTTTCTGTTCTGTTGTATTCCGGACTCGGTTCCGTGAAGGTAGTAGTGTATCTATCTTGTTGTCGTCCTTTAATTCCGCTTGATTGAGTTTTAGGATGTTTTGGGCAGGGTTGTTACAGGTTGGTTAGGCCTTGGTTTCAATTTCTTGTTGCCCAGTTTTTAGGCGGTCCGCTCAAGCGGGTCTTCTTGCGCTCGAGCAGGGTTTACACACTTCTAGTATTTCGTGACCCTGCAAAACTTCTGCAGGTGCGTTTTCTACGCTCGAGCGGGTTTCTTGCGCTCGAGCGGGTCGTGCTCGAACGGGATTGTTGGCGCTCGAGCGGGTAGTTCTTTTCCTGAAAAGTTCTGGGAGATGAAAATCTGCGCTCGAGGGGACTGGCTTTTCACGCTTGAGCGGATGTGTTTTGCTTTTGTTCCTTGGCGCTCGAGCGGTCATCTATGCGCTCGAGCGGGATCAGATGTTTGTGCTTTACGCTCGAGCGCTCTATTCTACGCTCGAACGGGTCATACGTATATGAGTTATCCGCTGGGTGATTTTAAATTACTTTTTACTTTTCTTTCTCTCTCTTACTTTTTCTAAAACTCTTTTTGAGAGCCCCTCTCTCTAGAAACTCCCTTCTCTCTAGGGTTTGATCTAGTTAGAGTGTCTTCCCTCTCTTCGGCCTTTGTAAAAGTTGTGTGGATCGTTGAGGGCGTCGTTTTGATCCGAAAATCTTGGTTTTTGGAGCACTTTGGTTTTGGTCTCTTCTCCATCCGAGCTCTAACTTCGAGGTAGGGATATTCTACTCCTCTATATGAGCTTTGTCTTTAAATTCTAGCATTTTGATATGTTGGGGGTTGTTGGGTAATTTTGAGAGAGTTTGGGCCTTTGTGTAATTTTACAAAAGTTGGGGTTTTAACTATATAAAACCTAGTTGCATGTTTGGCATGGAAAAGTGAAATTAATGTTACAACATTAATGAAAATGAAACCTTGGGGGTTGAAATGTAAGTTATGGAAAATACCCTAATTACATTGATTGATTAATTTGTATAATTAATTGTTGGAAATGAGGGATTGAATTGAGATTGTGGAAATTGGGAAGGGAAGGGATTAGAGGGTGTAGTTGGATCATTTGTCGCTCACCAAATTGAAATGTTGATTTAATATCCATTTTATGCATTTATTTTCTGTTTAGAAATAACTGCTTTGGGCTATCGGTGGAGGATAGTCTTGATTGTTGTAGACAATACATGATGATTAGGTAAACTAAAACTAATTGATTGAATGAGTCATAGAGTATGACGGTGGATAGAATACATTAATTTTATGTATTGATTGATTTTGTATAGAACCTTTGTGTTTATATGCATTGTGTGTAGAGGAGGAGATGGGGGATGTAATCCGCGGTTTAGGGGAAGATGGGGGATGAACCTCTAAACCGGATAGTGTTGGGAGGAGATGGGGGATGAACTCCGTAGATACAGCTCATATGCTTGTCTAGAGAAGTGAAGATACAGCTCATAGGCTTATCTTTGAGAAGTGTAGATACAGCTCATATGCTTGTCTAGTGAAGTGTGGAAACAGCTAATATGCTTATCTGTTGATGTGTAATATGCTTATCTGTTGATGTGTTGATATAGCTAATATGCTTATCTATTAAATAAAGGTGGAGAATGAAAAGTGACATAGACTTGTATGTTATGAAACTGTGATGTGATATATGTGGATGTATCGGTATTGGCCATCTATCAATTGCTAATCTTTTAGTCATTGTTCATAGTTGGTTTAGTATATACACATCAACAGATAACTCACCCTATATGGGAACATGCATTTTCAGGTACAAGTAGCATGCCACCTCAAGGACATAGTTTGGGAGGCTAGAGGCGGACAGACTTTTTATTGTCTTATTTCTTTTTTGTATTACATGTAAATTCAAGCCAAGGGCTTAATGTGTATCGATTAGTACTCCTTTTTGTAAACCAAGTGTTAACTTGGAAAGCTGTACCGAGGGCATTTGCTTTTGTTGTTAACATGTAATACTTTTGTAATGAAGCTCTCTGATGAATTGAAGAATAAATGGATCTTTTATATATAAATGTATGTTTATATTGATGGGCTTAATGTTATTTTTTGAGTGGCGGTTACAACTTGGTATCAGAGGCGTACGGGTTCGAATATACTTTGAGGTGACCCGTGGGAAAGTGCATTAGGAGCGACAATGGTTTGTCTCGCTTGAATAGAGACTTAGATGTAGTGTACATATGTACTGTAGTTTAGATTGATAACTGTCTTATGTGACTGTGCGGCTATGAGATTTAGTTCTTGGAATGTTGATTGGATCCTTGAGTTTCCTGTCGGAGTCCCTTGTTGGAAAGGCAACTTGAGATTCACTTGCCTGTTTCTAACCTGGAACTCTAGTAACGCTCGGGACTATCATATGGAAGATGAAATTGCATAAGTGGCTTATGTGTTTAATGTGCTTAACGTGGGAATGAATTACAGTTGTCCATGAGCATTAGGACGTCGAGTGTTATAGCTTCGGCACATTTGTGAATGTGCCTATTTAGTCTTGGTTACCTTATTTGGATGTCGAAGGAACCTAAGGACGCGCGGTAGGCTGTGCAAGCGTGCGTTAGGCAGGAGATGCTTTACCGGAGGAGGTTCCGGCAGTGCAGGAGGGAGGTTTGTCAGGCCAATGTGGCCTGAGCCAGCTGGGTCAGCAGGCTATGGGTGCCTTGGCCCGAGAGATAGCAGGAGCTTTGGGTATTCTCAGAGCTGGGAATCAGGCAGCTGAGGCAGGGCCTTCTTTCTTGAAGAGGGAGTTCTTCCGGTCTAATCTGGATGAGTTTGTTGGGGATCCAAAGGAGCCACTGAAGGCTGACGAGTGGTTGGAACAAATGGGTAAGACGTTCGAGATGCTTGACATCGAGGACGGGGCACTGAAAGTGACCTTGGCATCCTTCCAGCTAAAGGGAGATGCGGGTCAATGGTGGAAGTACGAGAAGGCTCGTGTTGGTGGTACATGGGAGGCGTTTGTAAATACTTTCCAGGAGAGGTTCTTATCTGCAGTGGCTAGAGAGAAGCTGAGGGATCAGTTTAGCCAGCTTAATCAGCAGGGTATGTCTGTGGTAGAGTTTGAGGCCACTTTTACTAGTTTGTCCAGGTTTGCACCTGAGTTGGTGGCGTCCGAAGAACGCCGTTGCTATGAGTTTGAGCGGAAGTTGAGGCGGGGCCTCAAGTTGAGGGTTGGTGGGTCTTTCATCCGAGAGTATAGACATTTAGTGGATGCTGCAGCTCATATGGAGCTCATGATGCAGGAAGAGGATGAGGGACAGAGAGGCTCCAAGAGGAGCCAAGATGGTCAGGGTGACGGTAGGAGACAGAAGGGTCCTAACCCTCAGCAGTCTCAGGGTGGTTTGGCTAGGTCGACCTTTCCAGTGCCGATTGCAGGCTCCGGGAGAGGTAATCAGGGGGATTTCGCCTGTTACAAATGTGGCCAGCTGTGTCACAAGGTTTCGGTTTGCCCGCAGAAGGGAGGGGGTCAGCGAGCTGCTTCTTCTTCAGCTAGACCTCAGGGCCAGAGTCAGGGCAGGGGCCAGTCCTTGTCTTGCTATCAGTGTGGTCAGCCCGGGCACCTGAAGAGGTTTTGCCGGCAGTTGAGTGCCACTTCGGGAGCGTCTGGTTCTAGGCAGACGCAGAGTTTTCAGCCAGCTCAGTCTGTGCAGGCCTCGAGGGCCAATCCGGGAGCTTCGTCATCCCAGTCTGTGCAGCAGTCTTTTGCTCCTAGAGGTGAGCAGCTGGATCAGAGGCCTACAGGGCGCGTGTATGCTGTTACCGCGCAGGATCTAGTACCGACTCCATCAGTAGTGAGAGGTACTTTTCTGTTTTGCAACTCGGTTGCTAGTGTGTTGATTGATACGGGTGCGTCTCATTCTTTTGTATCTGCTGCATTTGCATCTGTGTTGGAGTTGGAGTTAGCACAATTGGCATCTCCTATATGTGTAGTATCGCCTGTTGGTGGTGAATTGATCTTGAAACAAGGTGTTAGGGGTTGTGATATAGAGGTCGCCGATCATAGGCTTCCTTTTCCTTTTGTTGTCATGCCTATGAAGGGTTTTGATGTTATTTTGGGTATGGATTGGCTATCGTCATACCGGGCTGTTATTGACTGCTACCGCCAGAGGGTCACATTATGTACCTTGAGCGGGGAATGGTTCCATTTCTTGGGGGACCGGGTTGGTAGTGTTTTGCCACCGGGGTATGATTCACGAGGACGGAGTGAGCTTAGTGGTCTACTTGCTAGCTTTGAGAGTGGTGAGGGTGATGAGACCCAGATTGTGTTGCCGAGGGTGGTTTGTGAGTATTCGGATGTTTTTCCCGAGGATCTCGTTAGTTTACCACCTCACCGAGAGATAGAGTTCTCTATTGATTTAGTGCCCGGCACAGCGCCGATTTCTATGGTACCTTATCGTTTTGCCCCAGCCGAGTTGAGTGAGTTGAAGATTCAGCTCTAGGAATTGCTTGATAAAGGTTTTGTTCACCCTAGTGTTTCGCCGTGGGGAGCATCGGCCCGCCCTCTTTGCTAAAAAGAAAGATGGTGCCTTGAGATTGTGTGTAGACTACCGGAAGTTGAATCGGGCTACCGTCAAGAATAAGTACCCTATGCCCCGTATAGATGATTTGTTCGACCAATTGAAGGGTTCCCGTTGTTTCTCTAA